AAAATTTTTCTTTGGAAATTTTGGGTCGATATTGAAAAAATTGGTTTTTTTGGGTGAATTTTTGTAGGGGCATAGAGGAAACTATTCTAGATGAAGATATGAAAGAACCGAATCAATCGGTTGATTAGTTTACGAGTTACAGTCATTGCAAAATCCACGGCACAACCCAAAGCGCGGTAATAAATAAATAAATTGCAATTTATGGGCTAAGTTTTAAAAATATGGAAAAATTATGAGACCTTTTTTGTAGGAAATTCCTTCCTCCATAAAAAAGGTTCTTATCACTTTTTTATCGAATAATTTCGCCGAAATTTTAAGTTTAAAATTTACCGAAAGAAAATTAGTAGTTTTCTATCTTTCCAGCGTTATTAATGATTAAAATAAAAAAATAAGACTAACACTGTCTATAAATCTTTAAGAACAACAATCAATATTATTGGCAAGTAGATCACTTAAAATTATCCCCATAGGAAAGTACAAATGTATAAATTGATGGTAAAGTTGTAAGACTCCGGAGAAAAAAAACATATATATTTAGTATTTCCTCGATAAATTCACCCGTAACCCTGGCTTATTTATAACGTGACTTTAAGGTATCACTTGACTGGTTTACAATACCCAAATGTGTATTTAGTTAGTGCATTTATTGTCGGGCATTAAAAATACCGGAATTTAAATATTTTACTAGCATACACACTACATACGCTTTGGGTATAGTTATCTAAGTTAGAAGTACTATCGGAAAACTACTGACATATTGACAGTTTAACAGGAATTATTTCCTTGAGTTAACATCCTGGTGTTTAATATTTCAACAAGGCTTCAATCTTCAGCCTTACTTTTTAAATTTGACTAATTATAGATCAATTATAAGGAGATCCAAGTAACCTTCTAGTGTAAAGAATGTCTATAAAAAAATAATACGTAGAAATACTTTTGTTATCTTAAAATTAATTTTTAAATAAATTAATAACATTTATTGAGGAAATTTCCGATAAATTTACTCATTAAGGAGGTCCTTTCGCCATCAATGTTAAATAAAAAATATTAGATTATGCATAAAATTAAGTTTTATCTAATAGTTAAAGTCCTTATTGATCTACTAGTGAAGTTTAAGTTATTCTTCACCGTGGATATTTTTGAAAAAAAAATTTCCAAAAATGTTAGTATTTTTCCCGAGTTTTACGAGAAAGTCAGACCTTAACAACTTTCTCGAATTATGGCATTAACCACTGATTAGATGGGGTAAAAAAAAACTCAAAATAAAGTTTTCGAAATATTGAAGTTTGATTTTTTGCAATAAAATATATAGGTTGCAGTGGAATTTATGGAGAAATTATAATTATAAAATCACAGAAAATTTTTGAGTAACCTACATTTAAATGGCGTCAGAACATTTGGCAACGTTGCGTAGCGCGCGAGCTTCAGACCATTCAATAAATTCAAACTAAACTTTAACGCACTCATCATGTTTATCATATATACTTATTAATTAATTTATTGTTAACAAATTTTCATATTTCATAATTGAAAAATAAAACAATAATTGAAAAATACTAGCATTCCTGCCATGAGATATTAGAATGTTATGATTTTGTGACTAAACATTTTTAATTAATTTATTTATTTACACTGACTGCAAAAACTTAAACATGGTTAAGGTTATATTGTACAAATGAAAATGTAAACAACCGAAGTACAGCGTTGCCAAATCACGGACAGGTTACTAACAGCTGATTTACAAGAGTCAAATTAATTTTTGTATTTAACTATTTTTTTTTTAATTTTCAAAATTTCAACGATTAATGCCTCATATACTATTTATTTTTTAATTTTAGGAATTTTTATGGGTTTTTTATTTTAATTTATTGAATATTGACTACAATGAAAAAAAAGTTTTTTTATACCCGGAATACTGAATATTTTTTAGTCGAGTTTTCTTGTA